ACAATCAATGGTCATGCCAACTAGGAAATGCAATACTGATTGCCGTAGGCTGTACTGCAGTCGATAAGTTCTTGCTCCGAGAGAGAGACAAGCTGACCAGTAACATTCTTGTGGAGGCCTTCCAATGCACCTAGTAAGGCACCTTTACGTGAGTAGCAACGATGAGGATCTCACCAGCAACGCCAAAAGCCCAGCAGCTGCCGCATACAGTTCCTTGGGACTTCACATCAGTAACCCAACCTTTTTCGACATAGTCGACCCTCATCGGCAGATCATCATCGACCGAGCCCTCAAATCCGAATGTTTGGGCCTCGGAGTCTGACACGTGGCTGCGTCAGGTATTTCGTACTCTTTCGAGCGCCTACGGATTCCTCGCAACATCGTTTGCTGCCAGTCACCAAGGGAGTATCCTCTTGTGACGAACTCTCTGAATTCATCGTTTGTAAGATGAGTGAAAGGAGTGATGCCCAGCTTGTATGAAAGGTCTGAGAAACACAACCATAACCAGGCAGTACTGCAGATAATTACATCTTACTCCTCGAATTTACTTCATCTATGAACTTGAGGTTGTCGTGAAAGATGGCAAGTCTCTTGACATCCTCTTCGCCAAAGTCATGATCGTATCTGCAACAAAGCTGTGTCCAATAGCTACCAGTAACATTGCGCACTACTCATTCTTGCACGCTTCGAATAAGTTCTGCACCTCAAGGGGCGTTCGTTTACTGAAAGCACCTAGAATTGAAGATAGTAGGATAGGAGTGAGCATTAGTCGCACAAGAAAAACTGGATCCAGAAGGCTGTCGGGAGAGGAAACTCTCAGAGCAACCGAATAGCCGTGAAGAGAGAGACCGAATCCCCTGGTACGTGGAACTTAGCACAGCTTAGCTAAGCCTGATCCCGCGGCTCTTGTCTCGACAGAATTGATTGTCCCCCTGCGTGACGTTTCACTGTGACTTATGTGACCTGTTACTGTGCGTGAGTTCTCCTTATTACAGCTTTTCCGGCTTCTGGGGAAGGTTTCTGTGCTGAGTCTGCTCTCGCGTGCGTACGACTGCTTAGGTCGTCGCCACCCTAATACAATCGATCAGGCTATGTTTGCGTGCCCCAGCACTCATTGCTAGTGCTTTGGGAGCCTACGAATTGCCCATTATTCTTTCCGGTCGAATTTATTGGTTTATAGTAGGAATATGAATTTCACATGACATCTGTGTCAGATATTATCAACTTCATTTCCTGATGAATGACTCCGAGCCCTCAAATGATCCTCAGTCGTCACTGGGAAGAACCATGCGTGAGCGGCTCACGTTGAGCCCCAGGACGCTACATTGTACAAATGCATGAAAATTTGATTTCTCGGCTAGTACGGGGAGTATTCATACATCCTCTCAGCACTCTGAATGTATCCATATAACAAGTAAACACTAGGAGTTCGGTTGGCTGAATCAAACGCCGCGTGAAGCGGCGTGACTCGCGGCGCGTGCCAAAAACGATCGTGCGCAGGCGTGCAAATTCCTAAGCAGCACAACATCACTGGAGCATGGAGAATCAAATAGGATGGGAATTCACATTTCTTGCTTTGATGTGAGCACCACCACATGTGAGAAGTTCTTACTGAGAACACGTTTCAGGCGGTTGTCAACAGATTGTGATAGCGACAGTATTTCGCAGAAGGACCAGAGGATGATCACGGCTTCAATTGAGCATTAGATGTTCCAACGACACTATAGACTCACCAGACTCTCTGGTTACACCACGCGTGATTATCATCCCAGACTCAGCGCGACAAGGATCAACTTTAGCTTGAACAATGAGGACAACAGAGTGGCCAGAGCCTGTGTGACTCACAGGGCATAAGTCCCAGTGTAGGAAAACAGTCGCTCAGCAACACAACTGTGGCACGAAGGCTCGAAGGAAGAGATCTCGCGTCGTTGGTCACACAATTCCGTGTCTCCCAAAGAGACTCTCCTGAGAAGGAAAGCTATTGTGTCCTTCTCGTCCCTTTCCCTCTCTCGCTTCTTTACCACTATACCACTACTTCCACGGTGGAAGTTCTACCACAATCTCGTGTCTGGTATTCAGCCGTCAATTAACGAGGAAGGAGCTGCGACTATTACACTTTTAGTTTTACACCACACTGGCTATTCCGAGATAACCCGCGACCATAATGTGAGCTTAGGGGAAGTGCCAGGATATATTTCCTTCCCATTACACTCATTCAATATTCGTCTGTTACTGATACTGTTAACGCAACGCCCTGAACTGTAGACTAAGAGTTAATCATTAACTGTTAATGGAGAGAACAGCCCAACAGTAGAACTGGTCAATTTGATGATGGTGAATGCAAGTTTGCAGGGGAGTGGGCTCACTCTTTGAGAGTCACAATTTTTGACTCACAAACGGCTCGACAAATTCAGGGATCACTTAATTTTATACAACCACCAACTTATATAGTACTCCCACACTAGACCGACCAACAACTTATGTAGTAGTCCCACACTATACCGACCAGTGATCGGTATAGTGTTGGTGGTCGGCGACCACCAACGGGTGTGACGATAGCATCATACAACACCGCATAACTGTATTAAAAACCATCGCTCTCTCAGTAACATATGTCTCCTACGTTAGACGGTCTAACTTAGACCACCAACGCCTCGTCATCTATGTTCGTGAGTAATAACAAGGTCCCAACTTGGGACTCCCAAGTAAACCAGATCACTTCTTCTCAAATTTTTTACTCTTAACTTCTATAGGTGATCTACCCCGCGATATGATGGTCCTTTTTCCAAACGCACCCAAATAGGAATTCTGTCCATAGTATCCTTCCGACTTGGAAGGGTACTATGGAAGGGTACTTCGGAAGAATACTGTCGGAGTACGCCGTACTCCGACAGAGGGTGAGTTGTAGCTCTTTCATTGGTGATAGATAGACGATGATGAAATGATTTCAGATACATTCCGGTTAGATCAAATGTGTCCGAGGTCGTATCGAGAATCTTTAATTTCGCCGACGCCAACTCTGTGATTGTAGCCGCAGCGTCCAAACTAGGATACTATTTTGATGATGGTATCCTCTATAGCAGAGCTCAGAATGCCCTGGAGAAATCCTTCAACACTGAGAGCAAATTGTTCGAGCCGCTCGAAGTTAGCGGGAACTGGATCTCTCCGTTCGACCCGTCAACGCGGTCAGTTGAGTTCTTCACTCGGGCTTCGGCAAGTCAGTATCGCTTTTATGCGCCCTTCAATGTGGACTTCCTCATCACGAAGTATGGTGGCCGAAAATTGCTCGTGAGCACTTTGAAAAGCTTTTTAGTGAACAAGTGTGTCCAGTTTACACGAGTGATACGCGTCACGGTTATCACTCGTGGTGTGATTCACTAAGATGCCGAGTTAGGACTCACGAGTGAATACTTTGGTCAATACGGTCACAATAATCAGCCATGTCATCACGTTCTTGGGTGTTGCAGTCGTCCCTCAGTGGTTCCTCGTTGCAGACAAGGTACATGGAAAAGTCCTGAAGGAACTACACACCCCTGATGGATCCCCTGATGGATGGTCAGGAGATGATGACAACGGCGAGATGGCGGCTTGATTCATGGGTGCATTTCTTGGGTTTCTACATGATTGATTTTGCCAAGGACGGATTACTGTGTTCGTTCCCTTGGTAAAGGGAGACTACACGATATCATCACCAGGCGAGAAGACAGCAGTTCGGTTTGAAGACGTTGATCTTACTTGTGGGCACTCCATTAGCCGTCCATATGTATGTGAAATACATGGTACCCGTCATGTGGCATTACTAAGCTGCGAAACCGAACTTGATATTACCAGATCTGCTCGTGACCTAAGAGTCTTAGGCTAAGCCCTGAGCCCATTGATTATGTTGTCCTTGAAACTCGTCGCTTGACTCGTGCCAAATTGGCACTGCCAATTTGATTAGAGGTGGATGTTTGGTCTATTTCACTAGTGCATCACGTTGTTGACGAGCAAGCAATTTGCTTGAAGCAAATGTCACCACCAGAGTTTTTCTATGATTATATAATGCGAAGAAGTTTCTCAGCGTTAAATTCCAGCTCACCCTGTGAGAGGTATTCTGGACAATTCGGTGCCCAGCTGTACTAA